GAATTCATGCCCTGTACCACGGCTGCGTAACGATACACCGTCTTTTTCCTAGATCCCCCCAGGACCTTCACTAATACGAGTTTTCCAACTTCGATATCTTCAACTCGGGGTTCAAAGTATTCAGATTCATGTCGTACAGCCTCTTCAACGTCTTCTTCTAAAGGTTCGTCATCTGAATTGTCGTTTGTTACTGGTTCATTGACATCTAATTCGCTAGAGCTATCATTGTTTGCTGTCACACTTCTGCCAGGCTCCACATTAAGCTTCTGGCGTTTTATGTTTCTTCTTGTCGGTGCTGCTGAGAATCGTTGTTGTGGTAAATAGTTTAAAAGGGTCTCACTGACATCGGCCCCAGGGTCATTATCATTAGCTGGAATTTTGCGCAAAACACGCTCTGGATCAATTGGCATAATTCCAGTTGCTTGAAATGAACTGATGAGGTTATTCTTAATGGCATTATCAGATGTGTTCTCCATTTCGGCTAAAGTAGACGCAAGCAGTTGCGGGAAATCCTTCTTATCTATTGACGTTTGTTGTTTATGTGCCACCTTTCAATTCGTCAACACTTTTCTCCACGCATTCTTGAATGGGCGGAAAAATCTCACGTCTAACGGTTGGGTAAAATGCGTGGAATTTTTAGGCAAGCAGACAAAGGCAATGTCGTTTTCCTGGCACTGCGTTAAAACAATATCAGTGAAATGGGACGGAAGGTTGTCCCCAAGCAACACTTTGCGTCCTGGTAACCGCTTGGCATGCGGCAAAAAGCATGATTGAAACCATTCTGTAAATGTTTGCGAATCCATCCATCCGTGAGGTGTCCTGTTATAACGTGATCCGGAACTGCAGCACCTCTCATTGCAGCATTGATCTCCTTTTGGACCAAATTCTACCCATTGTTGCCATAGCTTCTCCGCCTTGTAAATGACGTACGGGGGTAAAAGTACGCCAGACCCGGAGCCGCACATCATGACAGTTATGGAAATTTTCGTAAAATTACATACACGTTCGGGATACTTAGTGCCTATGCGAAAGAGCATTTTCTTCTTGCCAGGGTCATCCTGTAAATTTGTCTCGTCATAGTTAAAGACGTTACAAGCAGGAACGTCTGTCAGTGTTTCGCGCAAATTCTCGAAATATTCAACAATGGTTTCCCGCGAAACATTTGCGCGACATTTTTTTATATTGGTGGCAAGTTTTTGGCTGATTTCATCTTTGTGGCGGTCCAGTAAACCATAAACCCAATCTTTACCTGGCATATTTTCCTTGAATCTCGTTATGATACGGCCTTTGCTATCTAAATAGTTTTTTGCTAGATTTCTTATGTCTAAGATAGTCAAGGGAAATCCCCATTCTCCACACAAAGTGGCATGTCTGATGAAAGCTTTTTCTTCATTATCAGAGAAAATCTTTTGTCCTCCTGTTTTTCTGTGGCGTAAACCATTAAATTTATTTCTCAGTGTACCAAAAGAAATTTTAGATTCAGCTGATGCACGACGTAATGACCATCCATCCATCATCAGCTACTTTTCTTAGTGCTTCTTCTAATATAGCTGGATCATAATCCGCATATCTTCGTGCACCCAATTTTCGTTTGTATTGTCGTGGCATGACTTGTTTACTGAAAGAAGAAAAAAAATTGTTATTGCTGTCTTAAAATTTTTCTTAAAAACTTCAAATTTCATACGAGAAATTTGCATACTGACGCAGGGTGAGATTGTTCATGGGGTGAGATTGATCATTCGATTACCAATCTCGCCCGGATTAAGCGATCAATCTGACCCCTTCAAACAAATTAAAGTATAACCTCACAACTCACGATCCAAAATAAATAAATTTCGGAATATTACATGCAGAAACATCAACAAATAGCGCCATGCAATCAGTTTTCTCGTTACTATATCACAATTTGACTTACCAATCAAAGTTCTAGAAGTTGTAAATGGAAGCAAAATCAGTTATGCAATTTAAATTGAGTTTTCACACACAAAACAGCGACCTAACGACGTGACCTGTACATATTTCCTTCGGCCATGTTTCTGCTAAACAAACATGACGGTTTGACACGAAACGAATCGACGATTCGCGCGCCAAACTTGAATTAATATAAATGCAATCTAGTGATCAATCTCACCCCCGGTGATCAATTTCACCCCAAATGACGGTAACACGAAAAATAATTTTGGCATGATTAAGGTAGTCAATAAGTGATAAATCATTTGTTTTGAGAAGAAAATTAAAAAATTTCATGTGACTAGAATGGTCACAGATACTATTTACACAACAGTATAACTTTTAGACAATATTTACTATATTCTACATTTTAAAAGCCAAAACAATTTACATTAAATTCCAGACATACTATACACAATAAAATATAATATAATAAAATTAATTAAATAATAATAACGGACTTGTAGTGTAGGAAAAATATTAGTAAATAATTAAGATATTTTATTGGAAAAATTAACATGGCGAATACAATCTATTTTTATCACAGTAAAAGGTTTACCTTTTTATAATAAGTATTTTTAATTCTATTATATCATTTATTATTTGTGAGGTATTAAATAAGAGATTTTTAATTTTAAATATTTGTTAGTGAGATTTTTTATGGGCAATTGGTTGTACATTTTAGGTGCAACATACACAAAGGCTCGTTGAGTAAGTGATTTACTCACTTGGGGAAAGTGACGGAGATTTTTGTTCCGAGTATTATTATAATGAAAGGGTATTATAGTCCTTCCATTATGAATTGCAGAACACAGTTATGTGGGGAATCATCAATATTTAATATATACGCATGGCACTCATGCCAAATTAAGAAACGAAAAATAATGTTTACTCCCCTTATACAATGCGGTAAATATTAAACGAACGGTCAGTCCACGTGAATTTGATATAAATGTGTCTAAATCCATCATCTCCGTTGTTTACCAATGAAAACATCGAATCGAAAACTTAAATGCACTGTATTGGCCGAAGGTTTACGGAGGGCAGGAGCGTTCGAAAATATTCCTGGAAGACAGTCTGCGATATCAGTGGAGTACTGTCGTGCGGTGTGTTTTGTATGTGTGGTTGGTTTAATTTAGAAATTTCTTTAAATAAATATAAATATGGCGTTCTTTAGACCATGGGCGAATGAAGAAAATGAAATTGCACAGTATAGTGAGATTAAAGACAGGTATGACTTTAACAATAAGGATTTAGATATACAAACACAACAAGTTATTTTAAATATATTCGAATGTTTAAAAAAAGAAAATATTCAGCAGTCTGATAATGCGATCATAATAAGAATTGCTGAATTAACTAAAACAAATAAATTTTCCATTTATCGGGTAGTCACGAAAGGGGTTGCTGTGGATCATTCACAAAACCGAAAAACATGTAAAGAAATAGTAAAATCAGTTGACAGAGCTACTCAAAGATTTTATACGAAGGACAATTTATAGTTTATATAAGGAGAACAGGGTTCTGACATTGAAAGTAATACAGCAAAAGGTAGCAGATTTTCCAGAATACACTTATACCAGTTTGGAAACATTGCGTTTTGTCAGCATGTGGTTTTAAGGAGGTCCTTTCGCCACCAATGTTAAATAAAAAATATTAGATTATGACTAATATTTATTTTTTTCTAATAGTAGATGTCCTTATTTATCTAATAGTGAACTTTTAACTATACCTTACCGTGCAAATTTTTGAGAAATTTTTTTTTTAAAAATGTGTGTGTTTGTACAGTGTCTTATGAGAAAGTAAGACTTCAACAACAATTTTCGAATTATAATTAATTTTACTATTATTTATTGATTAGATGGAGTAGAAAAAAACTAAAAATAAGGTTTTTGAAATATTTAGGTTTTGTTTTTTACAATAAAATATATAGGTTACCGTGGAATTTATTGAAAAATTATTATTAAAAAATCACAAAAAATTTTCAATTAGGTTACTTGAAAATTTTTTGTGATTTTTTAATATTAATTTCTCAATAAGTTCCACGGTTTACTATATATATTTTATTGTATAAAACAAAATCTAAATATTTCAAAAACCTTATTTTTAGTTTTTTCTACTCCATTTAATCAATAAATAATAGTATAATTCGAGAATTGTTGTTGAGGACTTTCTCGTGAGGCACCGTACAAATACTCACATTAAAAAAAAAATTCTCAAAAATTTGCAAGGTAAGGTATAGTTAAAAGTTCAGTATTAGATAAATAAGGACTTCAACTATTAGAAAAAAATTAATTTTAGTCATAATCTAATAACTATTTTTTTAACATTGGAGGCGAGAGGTGTGGCGAAAGGACCTCCTTAAAAACTGTAGGTGCTATAAAAAAAGTTCTTAATAAAAATTGTAAAGCATAAAGTTTTACATAAAAATGCTATTTAGCATTTTTTGAAATTATTAACACAGAGTTAGGTTGGTTAGAAGATAAGAGGAGATATATATGAGTTTTTATTTTCTTCCTATTTTCTTAGAAAAATATGAACTTTCTTTTCAGAAAAATAATTTTTTTCATTTGTTTTTTTTAAGTTATGACAATTTAAATTTACAAATTTTCAATATATTATATGAAGTGATTATGGCTTGTCTGACATGAAAAATATGAGTAACGAACTAATAAAAACTTTTTTTTTAACATTTGAGGCGAGAGGTGTGGCGAAAGGACCTCCTTAAACACAAAAAACTGAATAAACGGATGAAAATCTCCGAATCGTCAAGGATAGTTCAATGGCGACAAGAGTATTTGCGTCAGATAAAAGACTACAGAAGTTCTAATAGACAAATAATTTATCTAGATGAAACATGGTTTGACAGTCACGATGTAGTAAATTTCGGTTGGGTTGAAAGTAGTAAAAATTGCTGTTTGAATAGGCCATGTTCTAAAGGGAAACAGATTATAATAATACACGCTGGAAGCAAAGACGGTTTCGTGCTTAATGCTTTATTATTAGCTGGTAAAAAAATTAAAAACTGTGCAGCTGATTATCATGAAGATATGACAGCAGAATTACTTGAAAAGTGGTTTAATGAACAGCTTTTACCTAACGTTCCACCACAGTCAGTAATCATTATGGACAACGCATCCTACCACTCGCGGCAACTTCTTAAAATACCAAATAGTAGCAGTAACAAAGCTCAAATTTTAGCTTTTGTGTATGAACAAAATATTCCTATTCCTTCCAGTGATCGTAAAAAAGGCTCAACATACAAAAAATTGCTTACTGTTATTAAAGGTATAAAGTTAAAATAAATTATTATATTGACAAGCTGTGCAAAGAACAGGGTCATACTCTTCTCAGACTACCTCCTTACTATTGCATATTTAACCCTATAGAGTTAATATGGGCAAACGTAAAATCAGAATTACGAAAATGTAATCAGTCTCCAGAACTGAGTAAAGAGGTTGTAGAACTCGTAAAGAAAGTTTTAGCAGCAGACCGCCAAGAGCGTTGGAAAAACTGTGTTGAAGATGTTATCAAAGAAGATGAGTATGTGGTATTATCCTCTTTACAACCCATTATAATTCAACCAAATGATGACTCTAGTTCAGAGGATTTAGACTGCCATGATTATTTATAAAGATACTTTAGAATTGAAATGTTTTTTTTTCTTTTGTTTTATTTGCAAAGTATTTATTTTCCTTTATGGTTTTTGCTTTGAAATTTTGTTTTCCAGAAAAAAAAAAACGAATGGGGTACAAAAAGGGCTCAGTTCACGTCTGGTACCCTGTTTAAACCAAACGCCCTTACGGGCAGGTACACTTTATTCGTTTTTTTTACGTTTTATAATTTAATATTCTTGAATATGATATATTTTAAAAGTATTTATAAAATAAATTTATAAAATGAGGTAAGTATCTACGCCTATGGCAGATCAAACAAAATTGTCGGTAAAGGTTCGGAACGAGTTTTTATGTTCTGCAATTGATAATGGAAGAACTATAATTATATTTATAAATCAAATTTGAAAAAAAATATTTTTTATAAATATTTTATTTTAGAGTTTATTTTAAACTTTATAGATTTCCTAGTTCGTTCTTCTAGTAAGGACTAGTCATTTTGAAAATAAATCCATAATATTAAGCGAAATGTTTAGGTCTTATCAGAGAAACAAGAGAAATATTTTCGGTGGTCCTAAGATTCTTTCTTTAAAAGTATTTCTGATACATTTTAAAAATTATAAATTTCAAGATATAGAACGAATTTTTTCTTTTTTTAGGGATATTATGCAAAAGGGTGGAAATGTTATAGATACAGTCATTGCTACGGCGTTCTGCGAGGGCGTGGTCAACCCGAGTACAATGGGTATAGGAGGTGGTTTCTTGGCAACGTTTTATCAGAAAAAAACGGGAGAAGTGTTTAGTTTTAACGCTAGAGAATCAGCTCCAGCTCTTGCTTCGGAGGATATGTTTAAAAAGAACACTTCGCTGTCTGGAAGTGGTAAGTGCAGTCTGTGTAATATAATCTTTTTTCTATTACCGTGCGTAAAGTTTTACTTTTTTCTCTAGTGCGTAAAGTGAAAAAGTAATTTTAGTGAAGAAAAGTAACTTTTATATTTTTAATATTAATGGATAATGTGTACGGTAGTAAAAATATTGTATGCAACTCATGTGATTTACATCCACATTTGTCAAAAACGAGTAACTTCACATTTGTCGCATAAATAACTATTATGTGAGTGCTGTTAGCTTGGCTTGTTTTCTCTATCATATCATTATAGCGTTTCCTTAATCTGTCTCTTAATTTTTACACTTTATGCCATGGTGTATTATTTGCAAGTTCCAAAATTAATAAAAATTTAAACGACTTAGGTGGTTTATCGGTGGCTATTCCCTCTGAAGTGCGAGGCTACTGGCATCTTTATAAAAAATGGGGAGGCGGAGTACCGTGGCGATACCTGGTGGAACCAACAATTAAATTGTGCAAAGAAGGTATTCCTATGAACGAACTGACAGAAAAAAATGCAAAAAATCAGATTGAAGCCATTCGAGCTGATCCTGGATTAAGGTAATATATTTCAGAGAATAATATATTAGTATGTATACTATGTATAGGTATGCCAAACTTTCATAAAATGTCAGACTCAGTTTTTCTTAGTCTAAACGTTAACATAGTATTAATTTTGTTACACACTTGTAGTTGTAATTAAATGAAACTATTAAATTACATTTCAAACGAGGTCTTTATTTTTATGTCGTTGAGTCAAGCCGATAGAAGATAAGATGGCGTATGTCATATTATATGATACATGACATGAGAGATGACAAATAGAATTCAAGGTTCATGGTATAAAGGTCAAGCCTAAACTATTATCTAATACCTATGTTACATGTTTCTTTCTTTTTTTTAATATTCCAAAATATAATCTTTCAAATGTGAACGTATATGCTTTTCTCTTTTCTTTGTTGGTGTCGTTTTAGGTCTGGTTTCTAATGGTGATGTAATATGTGTTTCCTTTTCAGGTGCAGGGTGAATGTGTATCCTGTTCTTCCTGATTTCGCCCCTATCCGCGAGTTGAATTTTATAGGATTGTGGTTCCTCGGTATTTTGGTTCACTATTCCTGAAATCCAATTTAGTATACCTTTTAGTCTATTTCAGTTGTCTATTCTGATTTTGATATTTCCCCTGGCTTTCTTGAAGATGTCTCAGGTTTTCCACGGTATGTTCTGTGTCAAATTTTGGTTTTAGTAGATCTCTCTCAGCTTTTCTTGTTTTCATCATTAATGATTTTACGGTACCAATTGTATGCTCTATTGCCCCATTAGATTGAGCATAAGTTGGACTTGATTTTGTCATTTTTATCTCAAACTGGTTAGTAAATTGTAGGAGTTCTTTTGCATTAAATAGTAGACCATTATCACTCATAATCACCTGTGGTATTCCATGGTGCATAAATAACTGTTTCAATGTCTTTATAACTGCTGATGCCATCCTCGATGACATTTCATTAACAGATACAAATTTTGAATGATAATACACAGTAACTAGGTAGTCTTTGTTATTGACGTGTATAAAATCCACACCTATTTTGGATCATGGTAATTCTTCAATTGGATGTGGTGTAATTAGTTGTTTTTTATTCGATCTGTATGCAGATGTGACATGATTCAACAGCTTTGATTACATCGGTATACATGTCTGGCCAATAATTCAGGCATTCATGCCTTGATAAGCTTTATGTATAAAGTTTATGATATCGTATTTAACTGTGGTTGGCACAATGAATTTTTTGTCTTTATATAGCAATCCATCTTGTTGGTGAATTTCATGCTTTATGTCCCAATATTGTGTGACTATGGCAGGACATGATGTTTTTCTCTCTGGTCAGCCTACTTTAGCATAATATGCTACCAAGGATAATGATTCATCCAGCGCAGTTGTTCTGGCAAATTCCTGCTTTCTTTGTTCTGAAGCTATCATTTTGGAATCTACCTTCGCTGCTTCATTCTCCAAATACTATGTAGCAATGTTCTTTGGTTGTGGGCTTCTACATATAGGTGTTTGCCAGGTACATATTCTAACTTTGAATTGTATTGTAGAAATCGCAGTGCTAAGGCTTGTAGTTTTGAAGTAAGAGTACCTAATGGTTTCATCAGGAGTCCCAAAATTGTGGTCTGTTTCCATCTTCAACTTTTTTGCACAAACATAGTATTTGAAGTGTTCACATGCCTGAACAATTGCCAAAAGTTCCTTTTCTATCTCTGCGTACCTTGTTTTTGAAGAGTTTAATGATACTAAGAAGTATGCTATGGGTTTGCCTTCTTGTAACAGCACCTATCCTAAACCATACTGGCTAGCATCCACTGAAAGTGTTATGTCCTTTTCTAGGTTAAAATGTGCCAGTACAGGTGATTTGCTGATAATATCTTTCATCATTTCAAAATATGCATATTCATTGGGACCTTATAAGAATTCTGTGTCTTTTTTAGTAATTGTCTCAGCTTTTGTGTTTTGTCTGAGGCATTGGGTATGTACTTGCTGAGATATTTAATAATACCCGAGGAATCTCTGTAATTTTTTCACTGTGGATGGTGGTTGTATGTCGAGTACTACTTGTAGCTTTGCTTTACTGATGCTGGCTCTTTCAGGGCTGATATCTTGACTTAAGAATGTTTATCTTGTCACTAGCTAGCTGCATAGTTTTATTAAATTTTAGGTTAGTTTCTCTGGCTCTGTTCAAAACACATCGTAGTCTTTTATTATGCTCCTCTGGTGTTTCTCCTATGATTATCACATCATCCATATAGGTAAACACACCTTCAATTCCTTCATGAGTATCATGTATGGTTTTTTGCCATATTTCTGGACTGCTACAGATTCCATATGGTAGTCTTTGGAAACTGTAGCTGCCAAATGGGGTTAATATTGTTCACAGCTTTGTGCTTTCTTCTTCTTGCAGAAAAGCCGATGACACATCCAGTACTGTAAATAATTTTGCATTGCCGATTTCTGCTAAGATACTCTCAACTGGGAGTTCATAATGTTCTCTTTTTATATACTTGTTTAGAGATCTTGGATCCATACATAGTTTAATTTTTCCATTTGGTTTTTTGGCGTATGTCATATATGATATATGACATGACAGATGACAAATAGAACTCAAGGTTCATGGGTTCATGGTATAAAGGTTAAGCCTAAACTATCTAATGCCTATGTTACAATTTTTAGGGCAATTTTTATAGATCCCGCCACTGATCAAATATACAAATATGGCCAGCTGTATAAGAGACCCAAGTTAGCTCACACCTTAAGAATAATCGCAAAAGAAGGAGGCGATGCTTTAAACGGAGGCTCTTTGACAAAAGCTCTAGCTAAGGACATTCAGGACAAGGGAGGTATAGTCACTGTAAAGGATCTGGTCAATTACAAGTAAGAAAGACAATGTATTATAATTTATGTATTTATTATTTATTCCTACATTTTTAATTTTCTAAGCAAAAACTCCTGTTAAAGGCCAGAAATCATGAAACCGGTTCATACTCAAATACTCGATAAGGATATATTTTCCATCCCAGTACCAGGATCCGGTGCAGTTTTAACCTATATTATGAACATTCTGGAAAATTCTCTTGATACCAATAACCACGTATCAACTTTAAACTACCAAAGATTGGCTGAAGCATTGAAATTCGCATATGGACAAAGAAGTCGATTGGGCGATAGCGGTTTTGTTGAAGGTGTTCACGAAGTAAGATTATTAGTAATATTATTTAGTACATGAAAAATAGGAAAGAAAAGGCATATCTTTAAAAAAAAATTTCACTTGATTTTTTTATACATCAAACGTAATCGATTGGTCGTTAGAACTATGTATAAATATCAATTTTGTAGGCGTTTCAGAGCGGGATATCTTTTACATTTACAGTTTAAACATAACAAAATATTTTTGAATCTAAAAAAGTAAAAAAATATTGTAGAAAATATTGTTAACTACAACTTTAGTCTCAAACATTTTTAACTAAAACTAAAATTTATACAAAAAAAAAATATATAATGCCAAGGGAGGATTTAGAATATTTGATTTTAAGCATTTTTATGGTAAAAATAAAAAAATATTATTGTAGTTGGTTGACAAACTGATTTCCAAAAAATACGCCGAAGAAACCAGATTCAAAATAAGCGATAACAAAACTTTTGATGATCCTGATTATTACGGATCATACACCGAATCCAAAGAAGACCATGGAACCGCTAACATTTGTGTATGGGGTCCCGATGGAGATGGTATATCGCTTACAAGTAGTATTAATTTTATGTAAGTGACACATAGTATCTCACTATTTGAAAAAATATATACTCATATGACATGATTCCCACCGCTACCTGACTTAGTCCACAGTATTTTTTAATAGGAATAAAGAACAAAATCAATATTAATTACAGCATTAAGAATCATCTTATTTCCTATTAAATTGTTTTTATTTAAATTTATTTTTTGTTTTTTATTGGTTTTTTGTTTTCCTTAATTATTTTTTGATTGTTTTTTATTGTTTTCTTTTTTTTTCTTATTGTTTTCTTATTGTTTTTTATTGTTTTTTTATTGTTTTTTTATTGTTTTTTATTGTTTTTCATTGTTTTTCATTGTTTTTTATTGTTTTTTATTGTTTTTTATTGTTTTTTATTATTGTTTTTTATTGTTTTTTATTGTTTTTTATTGTTTTTTATTGTTTTTTATTGTTTTTTATTGTTTTTTATTGTTTTTTATTGTTTTTTATTGTTTTTTATTGTTTTTTATTGTTTTTTATTGTTTTTTATTGTTTTTTATTGTTTTTTATTGTTTTTTATTGTTTTTTATTGTTTTTTATTGTTTTTTATTGTTTTTTATTGTTTTTTATTGTTTTTTATTGTTTTTTATTGTTTTTTATTGTTTTTTATTGTTTTTTTATTGTTTTTTTATTGTTTTTTTATTGTTTTTTTATTGTTTTTTATTGTTTTTCAATGTTTTCTATTGTTTTTTTTTTATTGTTTTTTATTATTTTTATTGTTTTTTATTGTTTTTTATTGTTTTTTTATTGTTTTTTATTGTTTTTTATTGTTTTTTATTGTTTTTTATTGTTTTTTATTGTTTTTTATTGTTTTTTATTGTTTTTTATTGTTTTTTATTGTTTTTATTGTTTTTTATTGTTTTTTATTGTTTTTTATTGTTTTTTATTGTTTTTTATTGTTTTTTATTGTTTTTTATTGTTTTTTATTGTTTTTTATTGTTTTTTATTGTTTTTTATAGTTTTTTATAGTTTTTTTTATAGTTTTTTTATAGTTTTTTATTGTTTTTTTGTTTTTTTTATCGTTTTTTTAATGCTTTTTATTGTTTTTTGTTTTTTTATTGTTTTTTATTGTTTTTTTTACTGTTTTTTATGGTTTTATTTTTGTTTTTTTTGTTTTTTTTATTGCTTTTTATTGTTTTTTATTGTTTTTTATTGTTTTTTATTGTTTTTTATTGTTTTTTATTGTTTTTTATTGTTTTTTATTGTTTTTTATTGTTTTTCATTGTTCTTTATTGTTTTTTATTAACGTTTTTTATTGTTTTTATCATTTGAAATTTTTTTTATTTTTTTTTTATTGTTTTTTATTGTTTTTTATTGTATTTTATTGTATTTTATTGTTTTTTATTGTTTTTTATTGTTTTTTATTGTTTTTTTATTGTTTTTTATTGTTTTTTTATTGTTTTTTATTGTTTTTTTTTTATTTTTTAAATTTTTTTTAATGTTTTTCATTGTTTTTTAGTGTTTTTTTATTGTTTTTTATTGTTTATTATTATTTTTTATTGCTTTTTATTGTTTTCATTGTTTTTTATTGTTTTTATTGTTTTTTTATTGTTTTTTATTGTTTTTTATCGTTTTTTTATTGTTTTTTATTGTTTTTTTATTGGTTTTAATTGTTTTTTATTGTTTTTGATTGTTTTTTTTATTGTTTTTTATTGTTTTTTTATTGTTTTTTATTGTTTTTTATTGTTTTTTTATTGTTTTTTATTGTTTTTTTTATTGTTTTTTATTGTTTTTTTTATTGTTTTTTATTGTTTTTTATTGTTTTTTATTGTTTTTTATTGTTTTTTATTGTTTTTTTATTGTTTTTTTTATTGTTTTTTATTGTTTTTTATTGTTTTTTATTGTTTTTTATTGTTTTTTATTGTTTTTTATTGTTTTTTATTGTTTTTTATTGTTTTTTATTGTTTTTTTATTGTTTTTTATTGTTATTTTATTGTTTTTTATTGTTTTTTTTTTATTGTTTTTTTATTGTTTTTTATTGTTTTTATTGTTTTTTATTGTTTTTTTATTGTTTTTTTTATAGTTTTTTTATAGCTTTTTTATAGTTTTTTTTATAGTTTTTTATAGTTTTTTTTTATAGTTTTTTATAGTTTTTTATAGTTTTTTATAGTTTTTTATAGTTTTTTATAGTTTTTTATAGTTTTTTATAGTTTTTTATAGTTTTTTATAGTTTTTTATAGTTTTTTTATAGTTTTTTTATAGTTTTTTATAGTTTTTTATAGTTTTTTATAGTTTTTTATAGTTTTTTATAGTTTTTTATAGTATTTTATAGTATTTTATAGTTTTTTTATAGTTTTTTATTGTTTTTTATTGTTTTTATTGTTTTTATTGTTTTTATTGTTTTTATTGTTTTTATTGTTTTTATTGTTTTTATTGTTTTTATTGTTTTTATTGTTTTTATTGTTTTTATTGTTTTTATTGTTTTTATTGTTTTTATTGTTTTTATTGTTTTTATTGTTTTTATTGTTTTTATTGTTTTTATTGTTTTTATTGTTTTTATTGTTTTTATTGTTTTTATTGTTTTTATTATTTTTATTGTTTTTATTGTTTTTATTGTTTTTATTGTTTTTATTGTTTTTATTGTTTTTATTGTTTTTATTGTTTTTATTGTTTTTATTGTTTTTATTGTTTTTATTGTTTTTATTGTTTTTATTGTTTTTATTGTTTTTATTGTTTTTATTGTTTTTATTGTTTTTATTGTTTTTATTGTTTTTATTGTTTTTATTGTTTTTATTGTTTTTATTGTTTTTATTGTTTTTATTGTTTTTATTGTTTTTATTGTTTTTATTGTTTTTATTGTTTTTATTGTTTTTATTGTTTTTATTGTTTTTATTGTTTTTATTGTTTTTATTGTTTTTATTGTTTTTATTGTTTTTATTGTTTTTATTGTTTTTATTGTTTTTATTGTTTTTATTGTTTTTATTGTTTTTATTGTTTTTATTGTTTTTATTGTTTTTATTGTTTTTTATTGTTTTTATTGTTTTTATTGTTTTTATTGTTTTTATTGTTTTTATTGTTTTTATTGTTTTTATTGTTTTTATTGTTTTTATTGTTTTTATTGTTTTTATTGTTTTTATTGTTTTTATTGTTTTTATTGTTTTTATTGTTTTTATTGTTTTTATTGTTTTTTATTGTTTTTATTGTTTTTATTGTTTTTATTGTTTTTATTGTTTTTATTGTTTTTATTGTTTTTATTGTTTTTATTGTTTTTATTGTTTTTATTGTTTTTATTGTTTTTATTGTTTTTATTGTTTTTATTGTTTTTATTGTTTTTATTGTTTTTATTGTTTTTATTGTTTTTATTGTTTTTATTGTTTTTATTGTTTTTATTGTTTTTATTGTTTTTATTGTTTTTATTGTTTTTATTGTTTTTATTGTTTTTATTGTTTTTATTGTTTTTATTGTTTTTATTGTTTTTATTGTTTTTATTGTTTTTATTGTTTTTATTGTTTTTATTGTTTTTATTGTTTTTATTGTTTTTATTGTTTTTATTGTTTTTATTGTTTTTATTGTTTTTATTGTTTTTATTGTTTTTATTGTTTTTATTGTTTTTATTGTTTTTATTGTTTTTATTGTTTTTATTGTTTTTATTGTTTTTATTGTTTTTATTGTTTTTATTGTTTTTATTGTTTTTATTGTTTTTATTGTTTTTATTGTTTTTATTGTTTTTATTGTTTTTATTGTTTTTATTGTTTTTATTGTTTTTATTGTTTTTATTGTTTTTATTGTTTTTATTGTTTTTATTGTTTTTATTGTTTTTATTGTTTTTATTGTTTTTATTGTTTTTATTGTTTTTATTGTTTTTATTGTTTTTATTGTTTTTATTGTTTTTATTGTTTTTATTGTTTTTATTGTTTTTATTGTTTTTATTGTTTTTATTGTTTTTATTGTTTTTATTGTTTTTATTGTTTTTATTGTTTTTATTGTTTTTATTGTTTTTATTGTTTTTATTGTTTTTATTGTTTTTATTGTTTTTATTGTTTTTATTGTTTTTATTGTTTTTATTGTTTTTATTGTTTTTATTGTTTTTATTGTTTTTATTGTTTTTATTGTTTTTATTGTTTTTATTGTTTTTATTGTTTTTATTGTTTTTATTGTTTTTTATTGTTTTTATTGTTTTTATTGTTTTTATTGTTTTTATTGTTTTTATTGTTTTTATTGTTTTTATTGTTTTTATTGTTTTTATTGTTTTTATTGTTTTTATTGTTTTTATTGTTTTTTTTGTTTTTATTGTTTTTATTGTTTTTATTGTTTTTATTGTTTTTATTGTTTTTATTGTTTTTATTGTTTTTATTGTTTTTATTGTTTTTATTGTTTTTATTGTTTTTATTGTTTTTATTGTTTTTATTGTTTTTATTGTTTTTATTGTTTTTATTGTTTTTATTGTTTTTATTGTTTTTATTGTTTTTATTGTTTTTATTGTTTTTATTGTTTTTATTGTTTTTATTGTTTTTATTGTTTTTATTGTTTTTATTGTTTTTATTGTTTTTATTGTTTTTATTGTTTTTATTGTTTTTTATTGTTTTTTTATTATTTTTTTATTATTTTTTATTGTTTTTTATTGTTTTTTATTGTTTTTTATTGTTTTTTATTGTTTTTTATTGTTTTTTTTTATTGTTTTTTTTTATTGTTTTTTATTGTTTTTTTATTGTTTTTTATTGTTTTTTTAATTGTTTTTTTATTGTTTTTTTATTGTTTTTTTATTGTTTTTTATTGTTTTTTATTGTTTTTTATTGTTTTTTATTGTTTTTTTATTGTTTTTTTATTGTGTTTTATTGTTTTTTATAGTTTTTTTTTATAGTTTTTTATAGTTTTTTTGGTTTTTTTTTTGTTTTTTATTGTTTTTTTTATTGTTTTTTTTTTTTTTATTGTTTTTATTGTTTTTATTGTTTTTATTGTTTTTATTGTTTCTATTGTTTTTATTGTTTTTATTGTTTTTATTGTTTTTATTGTTTTTATTGTTTTTTTATTGTTTTTTATTGTTTTTTTATTGTTTTTTATTGTTTTTTATTGTTTTTTTATTGTTTTTTATTGTTTTTTATTGTTTTTTTTATTGTTTTTTATTGTTTTTTATAATTTTTTATTGTTTTTTTATTGTTTTTTTATTGTTTTTTATTGTTTTCTATTGTTTATTATTATTTTTTTATTGCTTTTTATTGTTATTTTATTGTTATTTTATTGTTATTTTATTGTTATTTTATTGTTTTTTATTGTTCTTTTATTGTTCTTGTATTGTTTTTTATTGTTTTTGTTTTTTATTGTGTTTTTATTGTTCTTTTATTGTTTTTTAATTGTTTTTTTTTAAACTTTTTTAATGGTATATTAATTGTTTTTCTTAATTGTTATTTAATTGTTTTTTTTTTAGTTTTGGAGCTGCTTTTGCGTCAAAAAGCACAGACATTATTTTAAATAATTCAATGGACGACTTTTCAAGTCCTGGTATAACAAATGTCTATGGATACCCACCGTCTCCAGCTAATTTTATTAGACCCGGAAAACGTCCCCTATCCTCTATGAGCCCGTCTATTATTCTGGATAAGGATAAGGAGCTTTTTATGGTTGTAGGTGGTGCTGGTGGAAGTAAAATTATATCTAGTGTTGCTCAGGTAACCATAAAAATGGTGAAATGGATTAAAATCCAAAACTAAATTTTTTTTAGGTAACAATAAGCTAGGTGACAGAATATACACTAATACAGAAGTAAAGACTTGTGTAGGCACCTTTGACTATTATAACTCATTACACACTACTTGTGTCATACACTTTCGTCTGAATAGGGTTAGACAAACCAAGTTATTATTAAAGTAGATATATAGAAAATAAAACTACAAATAAGTATTAGTCATTTTCTGATACTATAAATAAAGATGTAGTCAAATTGTTCAGTTCAATACAAAATATTTCTCTATATTTAAAAAAAAACGTTGAACTGTTTTGTGGTAGTGAGGATAGAATTTGGCCTTGATTATAACAGCCACCCTTATCATGCGCAAAACATTTTGAACCCTAACCTTTAACTATGCTTCCCTTCTGTATTAGTTGTAGTTAGGTTAGAACTACACTTTATGTAAAAACCAATTACAATAAATTCAAAATTAAATTGTTACTTCTTAAAGTATTTACTCAACCTGGAACTTGTTTTGTTCTAGGTGATAATAAATAGGCTGTTTTTCAATATGGATGTCAGAAGCGCTTCGAATTTGAAGAGGATTCACCATCAACTTATTCCGATGACTCTCTATATGGAAGACGAATGGTTAATAGAAGTAAGCATCTACCTTTTGTTTCTATTTTTTTATTTCAAAATGGCTTTTAGGATCTACCACTGACACATATATAGATCAAATACATTATTAATAAACAGCATACTATTCGAAAAGATCCAAGGGATCAATCTATGGCCAATCTATGGTTTACACACTTTTTTGATGTATCTTTTATCACATTTTTTATAGTTTTATAGTAATACTAAAAATATTTTTTTTTTATTTCTCTCTTTCGTCAGGATGAAGATGTAGTTCTTAATCTGAAAGAAATAGGCCACAACGTAACCTTTACTGCAGCTGACGGATTTGTAGCAGTAACAGCTATATCTGTAGACGACGCCAGGAGATCAGAACTGATAGGAGTCCACGACAAAAGAAGACTGGGATCTGTTGCTTATTTAAAATAGAATATTGAATTAAAAAAATGCGGTAATTAAACATTACTTTGTTTTATTTACTTGACTACTAATGAAAAATATGCTGTTTTAAGTTGCGACGCACATCCATATTATTGCTAAAGGAATGAAACAAATTATCGGGGTAATATCACCAGGGCTCAGATTTAGTCGGGTATTTTTACTTTCATTGTCTTACCTTTATGAAAGTGTGTATAAGAAACAACTTTTATACATTTCAGGCTCAAAATCTGAGCTGGAATCGTGGTAAGACAATTCCAAAAATAAAGTAATATTTAAATCCAATTAAACTTTATTTAACAGTGAAACAGAAAAACAATAAATATTTAAAAAGGCTTTTTAAAGAGAACAATGTTAAAACGTTATTGAATACAATTTATTTTGTTGACTGCATTACTGATGTAGGTTATTCATGGTGACATGGATCTTGTTGGCAGCTTAGCTGGTTAATTATCAAAAGATTGCTTTCAGAGGTATGACAGATTATTTGAATGATGCTAGTTATCAAGTTGTAAATGTCTTTATAGACTTAGGTGAAGAATGTAAAGTTATTCTGACTCTGCGTTGGAGCGGTGAAAATTAATTAGAATTTTATTATTTTTGTATAAAGTCCAATTTTTCGACTTCAATTTTTTCCCACTTAAGAATCTAAAAGTGGTTGATTTTGAGGTAAAAGTCCAGTTTATAGAACACATGACACGGTGTTTGTGCGCTAGATCTACGACTTTAATATTATTTACCGCAAGGATAAGGATAAGTTCCAGCCAGAAAGTCTCTCAGCATGCTTCGGTAGCGATGACCATGGCAACGTGGCATGATGTAGAAAATTGGTGGCCTTAAATTGCTCCACAAAAACAGTAAAAAATAGTGCATTATTAGCTAGTGAAAATTAACAAGAGTGATATATAATTAAGTGCATATGATGATACGAACCTGTAAGTAAAAAAAGACCTATTAATAGTATTGATAAGAAGGATAAACAGCAAATAAAAAAACAAAACAAAGGAAGCAATATATTATTAACCTTTGAACCGTTGAGTTTTTACTTGGAATTAGGCAGAATTCTAATAAAAATATAAACACCGTTGCCAAATCAAATCAAATCAAATAACTTAATTGAAAATAATGGATAAAATTAAAAATTATATTATAATGGAATTAAAAAACGTTATTGCTGCCAGCGAAACAAGAATACTGTCAAAAATAGAAACAATCAACGAAAAAGCAATAAGGTTAGAAGAAGAAAATACTGAACTAAAAGGAAAAGTCGAGTACATGGAAAGGCAACTAAAGAAAAACAATTTAGTAGCTTTTGTCCTTGTTAAAAAACCTGAAGAAGTTGCAGTTGATAATATTTGCAACAAACTGAATGCGTTACTGGAATTAAACATTACAACCAACGATATAAGTGATCTTTATCTAATTGGAGGTACTACAGGAAAAGAACCACTTAAAATAGAACTAACATCTAAATTTACAAAAGTCAATATTCTCCGAAATTGCATAAAATTAAAAGGCAAAAATATAACGATTGCTCACGATCTCACCAGAAGCCAGCAAGAGAAAAATAAAGTTCTAGTGAAGCATCTAAAGGAAATCAGATCCAAGGGTAGAGACAAGTGTTACATAAAAGGAGAAAAACTTTATATCAATAATAAACCTTATACAGCTGAAGAGATTACTAAAAAAGAAGAGGAAATTGGTGAATCAGGAGGTGTTTGGGACGAAGACGAAGAAGAGGGCGAACCAGAGAAGAAAAAGGAAGAAATAACACTAAGAACAAGAAAACAATCTGCTTCTGATAGACAACAAAAAAAAGTAGTAACAATTAAAAAAAAGTAAAACAGAAAATATTTAGTATATTATATTATATTATTTTATTGAGTCTTAAGCGCTTTACTTATCAATCAACCTTTATTTAACTGTATTCATAAAAATTCTTGTTTTAGTGGTAGTTCTTTCTTTTCTTTTTTCTTTTTTTTCTTTTTTTTTAACATTTAAAATTCCACAAATTTTCTCTATTTTAAAGTTAATTTTCTTAGAAATGGATCCATACATACGAGATTTTGAAATAGAGAAAATTGAAAATTTTGTTTTGGAGGACGCAAATCAAGCACAACAAATATTAGAAATAAATCATACAAATCAAAACATAATTATACTTCACAACAACATAAGGAGCATATTTAAAAATTTTGATAAATTAAAAATTTTTCTCTGTGATTTGAGTATATCTGTAGATTGTATAATACTTACCGAAACAAGAATAATAGAAGATATCAACTCCTTTAATATACCAGGATATAAAACTCTGTACAACTATGGTCGGGTAAATCAATGCGATGGTGTGATTATATTTATTAAATCCGAATTATATCTCTCACATAAAATTATTGAGCGTAACGTAAGCAAAATAATTCAACTAAAAATTTCGGTTGCTAACCACACAATAGCTATCAATGCTCTCTACCGATCTCCCAGTACTCCAATAGCAGATTTTCTTGAAGGATTAGAAGACATTCTGGAGAACCACACGGAAGTGGTATACTATAGTTTGATTTTAGGTGACATTAATATAGATATGCTGGACAATACAAATGAGGATGTGGTTAAATATCTTAATATACTCGGAGAGCACAATTATTTATCAACAATTAATAGTGTCACAAGACCTTCTTCTGGCACATGCCTGGATCATATCTTTATTAATGCCAAGGAGAACAATTATGATAATATCATTCCCCTTGTAATTGATTCGGAACTAACTGATCATTCCACAACTATGATACAAATTATATTTCCTAGTTTAAAGCAAATAAATAACAGTAAAAGCTGTTACTTAAAATATTTAGATAAAAAAAAGTTACATAGTACTTTAAAAGATGTGCAATGGGATTCCATTCTCTATAATTTAGAATTAAATACATCGGTAGAGTTGTTTGTAGATACTATACAACAGGCCATCAAACAATCTGAAATAAGCAAAAAAATCAAATCAAACGAAATAAAACGTAAAAACTGGATAACAGGTTCCTTAATTAAATCAATAAATACAAAAAACTACCTTTATAAAAAACTAAAAAAGAATCCCACAAATCACTACTTAAAACTTGAATACAATAGATTTAAAAAAATATTAGATAATTTAATAAATAAAACAAAAACTGATTACTTTCAAAATATGCTTAATAATTCAAAAAAATATGATTCAAAAAAGCTATGGGAAACTGTTAATGAAATAATATCAAAACCGAGCAATCTAAATGAAATCCGAGAAATAAAAAATTACAAAAATGAATTAATTAGAGAACCTGTTAAAATAGCTACAACATTTAATAATTTCTTTTCAAAAATCGGAGAAAATTTGGCTAACAAAATAGTCAAAAATACAAATTATAAAACACCTAAGAATACGTGCTCAAACTCTTTATTTTTATCCCCAACAAACGAATTAGAAATTAAATCAATCATAGCTGAACTAAAAAAGAATAAATCTTCGGGACCGGATAGCATAAGGTCAGAAAACATTCAATGTTTATCGGAATATATAATACAACCGTTAATATATCTTATTAACAAATCCTTTGAGGAAGGATGTTTTCCAATGTTATTAAAAAACTCTACTATAGTTCCTATATATAAAAGTGGTGATACATCGGATGTTAGTAATTACCGTCCTATATCACTCACATCAGTAATAGCCAAAATATTCGAGAAAATAATAAAAAAAAGACTAAACTCATTTATAACAAAGAATAAAATAATAAGTGATATGCAATTTGGATTTAAAGAAGGTAAATCTACAAATGATGCTATAATAGAATTAACGTCCTATTTATATGATAAAATAGACAAAAAAATTCCAACAGTGGGGGTATTTCTGGACCTGGCCAAAGCCTTTGATACCGTGGACCACCAAATTCTTCTAGATAGACTTGAAGATGTGGGGATAAGGGGCACTGCACATAAGCTGATTAAAAGCTATCTTTTAGGGAGAAAACAAAAAGTTAAAATAAAAAATTGTATCAGTAATAATGAAAATGTAACCTGTGGAGTGCCTCAAGGAACGGTGTTAGGCCCAATTCTGTTCACCTTATACCTAAATAATTTATTTCAATTAAAAGGAGCAGCCAAAGTTATATCTTTTGCAGACGATACAGTCATTCTTTACAGTCACAACACATGGCCAGAGTTAAAATCTTTAGTGGAAAGCGATTTAATTAAATATAAAAAATGGTTTGATAATCAATTACTTTCAATTAATTATAAGAAAACAGTTTTCCTACCTTTCACTAGTTACGCATCACAGCTCCCCAACTTTACAGAGCTTAATATTGATGGGGTTTGTATAACCGCTAAGAGAGAAATAAAGTATTTGGGTATAGTCGTGGATAGTCATCTTAGATGGGATACACACGTTTCATATTTATTAAAAAAACTCAGATGCATATTAGGTAGATTCAGGCAAGTTAAGTTCGCATTAAGCGAGCATCATTTAAGAATGCTATATTACAGCCTCGTCGAATCACATCTAACCTACGGGATATTGGGTTGGGGTTCTTTATCCAAAACTTACCTGAAACCCCTGGAAATAATACAGAAACGATTCCTCCGAATAATATTGTGTAAAAACTTTCGGTATTCAAGTGATGCTCTATATGATGAATCTAAAATATACGACATTAGACAACTATACTATATTTAATTAAATGTAAAGCAATACCTTAATAAAAATGATCTAGTAAGCTCAAATCATGGCTATGACACTCGTCAGAAAGAAACATTTTTAATACCATTTATGAATGAGTCCATTGGTCAAAAAAGTTATGCCTATTTAGCTCCTAAATTATTCAATTCCCTGCCCGAAACGATAAAGAAAACAACAAATCTTATAAAGTATAAAAACCTATTGAAAAAATTTGTCAGTGGAAAAAATAGAATTGAAATCCATAACCTAATAGAAAATTAAATATAGATTGGCAAATTAAGTA